GTGGGCAGGGGCCAGCTGCTCAGCTCTTACTGACTTTTAAATTGCAGAGCCGTAGAAGGGTTTGGTCATGGCTCAAGCTGGGACTGAGTGGCGCTGTCTGCCCAGCCAGTAGCAGCCCCTGTCCGCTGGGGGTCCCAGCTCAGCAGCCGCTGTCTGTGGAGGGTCCCAGCGGGAAGTTGGGACCCCTCCTGAACAAGGGCTGCTACCCCCGAAGCAGGCCATGGCAACTGGCTATGGACAGGTGCTGCTTTGCAGGCAGCAGCCCCTGTTCCTGGGGAGGTCCCAACTTCTCACTGGGCTCGCCTGCAGCTAGGGGCTGCTGTCAGAGCAGCCTCTCCGCCACTGCCTCTGATGGAGGCAGGAGCGGAGACAGTGCTGTAGGATACTAGCTTTTAAGCCGGTTCCCCCCTAGCTCCCACTCCTGCTTCTTCCCCCTTGCTGCCTCTAAATCAGATATAGAAGCAGCAAGGGAAGGGGGGAGAATGTGAGTAGTCAACTAATCACCTACTCTATTGCATTCCTACTTTACACTATCAGACTGGGTCTGAATTGAGATGGGAAGTGGCCAGCTCGCTACAAAAAGTATTTTTCCTCTTTTTGGTATTCTCATCTTATCAACTGTTGGAAGTAGGCCACATCCACCCTGATTGAATTGACTTGTTAGCCATGGTCCTCCACATAGTAATGTAACACACTCATCTTTACATATATATATATCCCTGCTGAACTGAAGAGTCCACTTTACGCATCTGTGGGTTGGAGCAAACTGTATCAAAGGCTTGCGCAGAAATAATTTTGTAGCCTTTATGTGCCACAGGACACATAGTTGAGGCATGTTTTGGAGTCATTAAAATGTTACAGAAAATCCCCACATTGTCACAATTACTATTGAAATTGGTTAGTTTTTTGCAGATTAAAAAACATGGTAAAAATCAAGCTTGTATTAATTATTCCCTGATAGATGTTAATAATTGCTGGGAAGAGTGCCCTGCTGAGTCGTTATTTTTAATGACTGCTGCATCATTAAGAAAGATTAACTTGTTCTATATAAACTTCTATAGTGATACAGCTACTACCTCATTAACTTTGTACAGAGATTGCTCTAAACCAAATGTGCTATACACAGAGTATGGTAACAGATTGTTTGGGTTTTTTTGGGGGTAGGCTCATTTTAGTCAGTTGACCCTCACTTAATTATAAAAAGAGTTTGTGAACAGGCCGCTACACATTTTCTTCCAATTAAAATGTTGAAACAGTGAGGAAAACTGTCATCTTCTACATGCTTTAGCCAAGCTAATTACAAAGCTTCCACAGATGAGTGCTTCTTTTTAAAAGAAAGTATTTTGTTTCAATAAGGAGAAAGGGAACTGGATGAATAACTAAGCTTAAAGACCTTTACCATTTTGAGTGACCTGATTTGCAAAATAAGTGAAGCTCATTGCAGACATTTAGCACTTCTTGGGGTATTTGATATCTTGAGTACAAATAAAACACTTGCCAGTTGAATGTAATAGCCTGCGAATTGCTGGCTTTGGGGCTGTATGAAAACAAATTGGACTTAATTAGGTAATGATGTATGTTTTTTGTTTGTAGTAAATCATTTATGTTATCCCTCTAAATAGAGGCAAGTTTTACCAGTTGGCATATAAACCATAACATAAGAATTCTTTAGCACTTTAGGGATAACTTTATAATAAAGGTCACCTTGTGGTGACTCGTTTTAGGAAGGGGTTGGACAGGTTATTTCCATATTATCATCTACCTGTACCTGGTTGGGATATGAACTTGGTACTTAATAAACTTATGGGACCACCCTTTGAACCAATGGCTGAGTGTTCATTGCTTCATCTTTCTATGAATGTAGCCTTCCTAGTGGACATCACTTCAGCAATGCGAGTGTCTGAGTTGAGGGTACCTATCCTCAGAACCACCATACACGGTCTTCCACAGGGATAAAGTGCAGTTTAGGCTGCATCCGTCTTTCCTATTAAAAGTGGTCTCCCAATTCTATCTGACCCAAGAAATTTTCCTCACAATATTTTATCCTAGTACTCTAGTTCTAGGCAGAGCTTGCTGCACACGGTGGATATGAAAAAAGAGCCTTAGCCTTTTACGTAGATCGTACCAGGCTGTTTCGAAAGTCCACACAATTGTTTGTGGCGTTGGTGAGTGTATGAAAGGGGACCCTGTCTCTACACAGTGTATATTGTCCTGGATAGTGCGGTGCATACGCACCTGTTGCAACCTAACAGGGGTCCCGCCCCCACTGATAACAGGCCACTTGACTAGGGCATAAGCCTCCCCGACTGCTTTTGTGGCACAAGCTCCCCTGCAGGTGGTCTGCAGGGTGGCCACATGGTCTTCAAGCCATATGTTCATGGCCCACTACATGATTGATACATTTTCCAGAGAGGATGCAGCTGTTGGCAGGGCAATGTTGCAATCAGTTATTCTGAACTCCTACCCCACCTCCAGGGGATAGCAGCTTAGGAGTCACCCGATTGGAATCAACGTGAACAAGCACTGGAAGAAATAAAGACAGTTACCTGTTCTTGTAACTGGTGTTCTTCGAGATGTGCTGTTCACGTCCATTCCAGTACCCACCCTCCTTCCCATCTGTCAGAGTAGCCGGCAAGAAGGAACCAAAGGAGAGTAGGTTTGGCTGTGGTATATATGCACTGACATAGCAGCGCCACTCTAGGGGTCTCCACGGCCGACCCTGCAGGAGCTGCTAGGGGAAAAGTTTCCGATGCTCGTGCACATACACCTGATTGGAATGGACGTGAACAGCACATCTCAAAGAACACCAGTTACGAGAGCAGGTAACTGTGTTTACTTCTTCCAGTGTTGATTCCAATCAGGTGACTCCCAAGCTGCTATCCCCCTGGAGGTGGGGTAGGAGTTCAGAATAACTGATTGCAGCACTGCCCTGCCAACAGCTGCATTCTCACTGACAGCTACCTACTTGCTGTAGTGTATAAGGACACAGTAGGTGCCTGGCAAGTGACAGGATTTCTAAGCTGAACATGGATATTGCAATGATCACTCTCAAGTTAAGTGGCTGGGAGTCATATACAGGAATTCTAGTCAAGAAAGGAAAGATGACAGTGCAACTGGCTGGATATAAAAATGATGTGAATTGGTTTTAGAGCATTGATTCTGTAATTTCACAGCCGGAATTCTATAATGATGGTAATAACAAGCTTTGAGGGACCAGAACTTCAGCCAAAGGCAGTTCACCTAGGTGAATATTTTTATTAATTGTATACAACCAAAATCTAAATACATTTTCACATTGAAGATGCATCTGTCGAAAGCTCTGTGTCTTTTGCCATACACAAGAACATAAGTGGTGCAATGTCAACATTGACTGAAACTGCGCAATTTCTTCCTTTCACCATTCACTGCACACCATTTAATCACTGAGCATATGACAAATACAGTTCAACTCCCATCACCTTTCGCTAAAAAATGGCTATCCCACACTCAAGTGCCTTAGCCAAAAGACTTTTATGCCAGGATAGCTTGAATTTGTTCGCTGTTTCAGAAATTGGAGTCATGCAACAGGCAATTCCAAAGGAAAAAGTTTCCTTTCAGAGGATTTTCTGCGAGTAGGTTTCTCTTTATTAAAATGAGTGTGATCAAGCACAGTCACATCTTTGACACTGGCAGGAGGAGAGATGGGGTATCAATCTGTAGTTTTCAGCCCTATGCTGACCTGCTCTTTTTTTCCCTAACCCTAACATCAAGGTAGATTAACGGCAAGTAGTCCTCTAGCGCTTAGAGACGAATAAATAAATACAATATATACATACATACACACACACACACACATATATATATATATATATATATACATCAGTCTCTCCCTGTATGTGTGTGCGTGTGTGTGTTTAGTTATTTAGTTAATATATATATATACACATAAAATCATAAACCTTTGAATCCTTATTACCTGTGCAACAGAATATAGGGGGCATAAATACAAGATTTTACTTCTTTCTGTGTTAACCTATTTGTATTGCAATATTTTATCAGATTCTCACTACTTTTGAAAATAGAAAAAACTATAGCCCACATAAAGGATTTGCTGCTTGCTAAATAAATTGGGCTAAATTCTGTTTTCTTGCACCAATGTAAGTCTAAAATAAGTCTGCAGTGATTGGTGTGAGAATAGAATTTGGTCCTAAATCTCCCTTAGAGAAATGCAAACATTGTTTAACATTGTTTTAAAGGTTTAAGTAAACATAATTTTAATAAAATATAAAAGCCCTGAAAACTAATGAGAAATTCTGATACATGCTTAACTATAATGGTTCTAAATGGAAGTACGTCTACATTTTTAAGTATTTTGGATGTTAACCTAAAATTGCCACTTCTAAAGGGCAGGTCACCTTCCTTTCAGTTAATAGAACATCATTGATCATTAACAGGAGATTTCTTCATGTTCTGTTGAAAAACTATTCTGTATTCATTTTTTCTCCTCCTACAGCCTGGCTTTATGGTATCATTTCTATCACTGTCATTAGCCTGCTGTCCTTACTAGGTGTGATCTTGATACCCATCATTAACCAAGGATGCTTCAAATTCCTTCTAACCTTCCTCGTTGCTTTGGCTGTTGGAACACTGAGCGGAGATGCATTATTACATCTCTTGCCACATGTAAGTACCATTCCATCCCTACACCAATGATTTCAGGGTTTAAAATTCCCAGATGACTATTGAACATGAACATCAACCCTTAAAACATTATATATTTGTATGTTCATGTTAGGCTGTAGATTGGGATTGTGAAGGAAATTTTAAAATGGTGTTTAAGGCTTTTGTTGGCAATGATAATTTGATCTCTGTTTTTTTCCTAAAGAAAGGGTGTGTTAAAACTACAAAAGTATAACAAGTATGTATTGAATTTCTCAATGCACGAGGTAACTGTGGTAGAGCATAACTCCTGTTTTTTGTCTCCCTTTGCTCAGACGGGTACCTGTGTTAGTCTGTACCTTTACAAACAAATTTAAAAAAAACTGCAAGTACAAACAGAAATATATGAATAGTATCATGAGCTTTTGTGGGCAAAACCCACTTCAGATGAGATGATCTTGAGAGTCTGTTCTCAGAGATTTTGGAAAGGTACTTCAATAGGATTCTTGTCTGAAAACTCATGAAGGGTGGGTCACAAGGTACCAGTTCCCAACCAAATATTTCTTTTGTGTGCTTTTAGTAACAAGGATATAAACCTGATTTTGGATGTTTTTGTACTAAACTGTGCCCCATCCTTATTTTTATTTGGATTTATATATTGTAGAAAACCTAACTCCACAGAAGTTGCTCTTAAATCTAAGGAAACTGGGTTTTTAGTCCATTACACATTTATTTGAGGGGAAGAAAATGGAGAGAATATATTCTGTGAACTTGCTTGGCTTCTATGGCCATAATTCTTTTGACCTAGACTATGAAGTTCACTTATTATTTACTTTGCATTATCCATGATATACATATTCCAGGGAGGTATGTGTTGACAGAGTTTGGAAGTGTGTTTTAGGTTCGAGCTAAAATTGTTGGATTGTTTTAGATAAATTTTCATATGTCTTTGCTGCAAATGATGCAAGAACTGTAAGGAAAATCAACTTTTGTATGGTAACTGATTATTTTTAGCTTAGTTAATGAGCGGGGCCAGATTCTTGTTTGCACTTGTTCTCCTTCACTCGTAAGTGGTACAAAGGAGCTGGAGTCTGTCCAACTAACTGCCATGGTGAAACATCTCTGAGGGAAATGTTTCTGTTGATAGTCATTTAAGGTGGGTGTTCTAATGGCTACCAGTAGAAACAGTTCCTGTATTTAATGGACCTTTTCTGAAGGAAGGAGGGTTTTTTTTTCCAAAAGGGATTTTGGTAATACTTTGGTAATACCAAAAGGGATTTTGGTAAGCACAGCATCACATATCCTATAGATTTGAAGTCACTCCAGTTTACTGAACTTGCAAATTCAAATTGTGGCTTTTTCTCCCCTTTCCAAATAGTCTCAAGGAGTCCATAATCACACTCACCAACAGGACCACAGTCATGTGCATGAACACAGACATTCTCATGGACATTCCCATGGGCATGGAGCAAGAGATGAAAGTTTTTTGGAAGAATATGATGCAGTATTGAAAGGGCTTGTAGCTCTTGGAGGCATTTATCTTTTGTTCATCATTGAACACTGTATAAGAATGTTTAAGCACTACAAGAAACAAAAGGTATGTGCAACATTTTCTCATTCTGCATGCCATCATTTAAAATGACACTTGGAAAAATTGGCGTTTTTATAGGATGCAAAGTTTTTTTAGGAAAATAAATCCTCAAACACTGTACTTGGAAAACACTCTGCATGGTACAGTTTAAATGTTTTGTAAAAAACTATTAGCTGTAACTAACCTATCATCATGCTGATTGGTAACGTGAAAAATGTGACTGGGCTCTTTACTATAAGAGGTTGCTTTTTCTCCTGTAAATGACTCTGCTCTCTTTCACGAGATGTGGATATTTTGAATTGTCTTGTACACATCAGTCATAATAGACTAGCAGCTAGCTGGGATAATGGCTGAGGAGTGCTTAAGCAAATAAGGATCACCTGATTCTAGAACAGCGTGCAGTGATCTGCTTGCAAAATATGAATTTAAGTATATGGAATATTCATATATTTATAGGCTTAAGTTTGACTTACTTCAAGAAGAGACATTACTGACACAGTCAACAAGAGAGCTGAATTTCTGGTAGAGAGAATTCAGTTCATGTGGTAGTGACTTACCTGATTATAACATGGTGGTGTCCAAAACTATGAATCTATTTACAAGGCCCCTGAATCATTAAGAATTTATTTCCATAAGAAAATATCAAGAATTACAGATCTGACACTTAAAACTTGACTGGCTCTCTTTCTGTAACAGTCTTTATCTAAAAGGGATTTGGATTCCTCTTGTAGTGCTTTTTCACATGAAGGACATCCTGGCTATGCCACCATTTTTGCAGAAGAGGCTCTTGCACCAGAAGGGGCATCTACACTGCCCCTTCTTGTGCAAGAAAAACCCTCGTGCGCAATGCCGTTATTCCTGAAAATAATCAGTGTAGCGGCATTGTGCAAGAGGGTTTTTCTTACGCAAGAAGGGGCAAGGTAGACAGCTCCTTCTGGTGCAAGAGCCTCTTCTGCTAAAAATGGCAGCTCATTAAGTATGCAAATGAGGCTCAGTGATATTCTATGCTTAGCCTCATTTGCATATTTCTGGCGCAAGAAGCCACCAGTGTAGACATAGCCCCTGAGAATATAAGGCAGAAGGGGATGAAAATGGAATATATTGAAGGGATTGTGACACCACCTGCCCTGCAACCTTGAGTTTCTCAAAATTCTTTGTGGGTGTACTTCCCAACATGGGCCCCTCTCACAGTGTACAGATCACACCTTGAGTGTCTTTGTAGAGCTACAGCCCTTGTCCAGCAATTCTGACCTCGGCATCCTGCCAGTCAGTCTGGTTACTAGCAGCCTTGGTTACTACCTCCCGGATGATCCCAATACATTCCCAGTCTTTTATTTTTCCCAAAAGCATGTATTCTGCACTGCCAAATTTGTTTCTGAACAGGATAGATATTAGAGATCCATTGCCTCTATAAGGACTCAGGATACAAGTTTGCTGTTTTAATTGGAGGTACCAAACAATCCAGTTTAAACATAACACTGAATTAAATTTTGATTAAAGAATACAACTAGTTTGTTTACCTACAAAGATGCAGGTTTTTTTAAGTGAGTACAGATATGAGGCACTGAAGTCAGAAATGCTTATAAGAGAAAAAATAATGGGCAACACTGGGGAGGGGCAAGAATCGTGTGTAGGGTGTGTATACAAGAGGCATGGATTTAGCTACATCTTCCACGAAGATTAATGAATTGGTGAAATTTTCCAAATGGTTTGGAAAATCTGTGGTCCCAACGTGTAGTCTTGGTCATAAAGCACACTAAACAGGAAGGGAACACGTTTTCTTCATTAAATGCAAATTTAAAATGTGAACACATTAAATATGTCACAGTTCTATATGGGAAGAATCTTTTGGCTCATACAACAGGCGCTGCTAATGTATGCTGTCTAATGTGCTAATTTAGGAAATTATACATTATTGAGGGGGGCAGTTCTTGAACTGAGTCATGACACTTTTAATGGGGTTGCCAGGGCTGGCTTATGATTTGCTGAGGTCCAGGGCCAAAACCAGAGCCTGAGCTACACTGTCTTGGACTAACCTGAAGGCTTCATTCCCATTCATCACCCATTGTGGCAGGGCTCAGGCTTCAGTCTCCCCTCTAGGGATCCTGTGGTAATTTTTGTGGTACAAAGGGGGGTGGGTACAGTGCAGTGATATTTGAGAGCCTTTGCTTTGTTTGATTTATGTAGCGCTATGGCAGAGAGCTGAAAATTCCCATAATCTGTAGCGGTGATGATCTTCATGAATATCTGAAATTCTACACTTTGGAGAGCCAGATAAAAGATAATCTTACTGAATAATAAAATGACATGTATGACAGGACTTCAGTGAGTCTTCCTTTCCTTTCAGTTTTGTTACAAACTATGAACTAATGGTTTTCTGTGTCAGTCTAAACAGAAGTGGTGCAAGAAAAAAACAAAGATTGAAGAATCACCAATTGGAAGGAAACTTTCAGAACACAAACTAAATCATAGGCCAGATGCTGACTGGCTTCAGCTCAGACCCCTGGCAGGTAAGTTGTCATGTTGAGAATTTGTCCTTGACTAGGAGACTCAAAGCTAAGAGTCACAATATGTAACCTATTTTTTTTTATATTAGCACTCCCTCTCTGTACATCTGTGTTAATAAGGCTTCAGCCCTAAGTTACAGCACTCAGGTTACAGACCTCCTGCCTGGGGCTGAAGTGCTTGGGGTTCAGTTTTGGCCCTCCGCCAGTGGCTGTGAAGCTCGGGCTTGAGTTTTGGCCCTGCCCTCCTCACCCAGTGTGGCAGGGCTTGGGCAGGTTCAGACTCTGCCGTGTGCTCTGTCAGTGCCAATTCGCTCCATTGCAGCCTTTTCTATAAATACATAATGCCTGTCCTCCCTTAGAATTGGCAGCACTTCGAATACTTCACGGTATAATTACTGACTTGGTTCTCAAATTTTCTGAGGCAGAAGACATTTATCTTACTTCTTTAATTATCACTTGGACATTTGTGAAGTCATGTAAGTAATTTGGGTGGGTGAGGTTCTGTGGCTTGTAATGTGCAGAAGTCAGAGATGATCATGATAGTTTCCTTATAGTCTGAGACTATTTTTTACTTGTTAATTTTGAGGATTAAAGGGGAAAATCTATCACTTTGTCAATCCTGGTTTGAGAATGTCTGATATACTATATTTTGGCTGATAAGATTAAGGCAGTGGTTCCCAACCTGTGGTCTGCGGACCCCTGGACATCCGCGAGAGTATTGCAGGGAGTTCGTGGGGAAAAAAAAAAAGATAAATAAAAATGATCATAGAAAATAAGTTTTAAATAAATTGCAAAGTTACAATCAACTGTTATTTTAAAACAGTGGTTCTTAACCTTACTGCAGCCTTCACCCCTTTGGTTCTCAAAATATGTTCTCACACCCCTTATTAAAATTGTTGAAGTAGGTCAGTTTTAAACCTAAGATATATCATAAAAATCTGGCATGTCTCACACACCTAGAAAGGGCATCTCGCACCCCCAGAGGGTGTGTGCACCCCAGGTTAAGAACCGCTGTTTTAAAATTAAATACAGGCAGTCCCCGGGTTACGTACAAGATAGGGACTGTAGGTTTGTTCTCAAGTTGAATCTGTATGTAAGTCCGAACTGGCATCCAGATTCAGCCGCTGCTGAAACTGATCAGTTTCAACAGCGGCTGAATCTGGACACCAGTTCCGACTTACATACAGATTCAACTTAAGAACCCCAGGCGTCCCCAAGTCAGCTGCTGCTGAAACTGATCAGCAGCTGATTCCAGGAAGCCCGGGGCAGAGCAACTCTGCCTCGGGCTTCCTGTAGTCAGCCGCTGTTCAGTTTCAGCAGCGGCTGACTTGGGGACGCCTGGGGCAGAGCAGCTCGGGTACTGCTGGGTTGGTCCAGTAGCGCCAAGGCGCGGTGCTGTGGGACCAACCGGCAGCGCCCCACCTGCTCTACCACAGGCCCCGGGCTTTGCTCCACATCTCCCTGGTCTGCTGGGGGAGGGCACTAGCTGCGTCCCCCCCCCCCAACAGACCAGGGAGATGCGGAGCAAAGTGGCAGAGGACCTGGGCCGGACCCGCGGCGCTGATCTGGAAGCGCCGCGGGTCCAGCCCCAGGTCCTCTGCCGCTTTGCTCAGCGTCTCCCTGGTCTGCTGGCTCCCCCAGCAGACCAAGGAGACGGGGAGCAGCTTTTCTTTCCCCGGAGAAGGCGGGCGGCGGGACCAGGCGTCCTGCCGCTCCAGTCCTCCGGGGCGAGAAAATCCCCGTTCGTAACATAAGTCGGATCCGCGTAACTCGGGGACTGCCTGTATCTTCCAATAATGTTGTTAATTGCAGTCCAAAAAGCTATGTTGTGGCACCTTTGTGTGCCGAAACGATCGCGACAGATAGAAGCATACAAATGTTAGCCATACATTCAACATGGTTCTGTGGTGAAATCAGTTTCGCTGAAGAGAAAGGAGATTGATGAGCAGAGTGAAGCATCCACAAGTGGAATGTCTAATCATACAGACATAAATAAATGAAAAGTGAGAAAATACTCTGCTGACTACTAGAATTGGCTTTGATGGGGGCTCCACGAACAGTTTGGGGGGGCGATTGGGGGATCACAAAAGGTTTGGAGTGGTGACTGGGGGTCCGCACTACTGAAAAGGTTGGGAACCACTGGATTAAAGAAAATGAACCCTATTTATTTCTCGCAATTGATAGAAAGAGAATACTTCTAAGGCCAGGTCTATACTACCATTTACTTTAGTATAACTCAAGTCACTCAAAAGTGTGAGTAAGCCCTGAGTGATATAAATAACACTGACATAAGCACCACTGTGGAGAGTACTATATTGGCCGGAGGGCTTATTTTAGAGGTGGTTTATGATGGCAGTGGGAGAGCGCTCTCCCATCAGTATAGTGCATCATCCCCAGACACGTTTATGCAGCTGAACCGATACAGCACTCCAAGTGTAGACTAGTTCTTACTTGAGATTGTAATATTACCTAATCAACTGTCTTCACATAAGACTGCAAACTCCAACTGTAGAGAGCCTTGGTGTGTTGGATGGCTTTACTTTCCTTTACTAGAAAATAGGAATTTGGCTTCTATAGAAAAATAAAATATTTATTTTCACTTAATTGGCAGAGAACTAATATAGGCGAATGAGTTTGAAACCATTCAGTAAATTTCTCCTTCCCCCAACATAGTAAAAACAAAAGAATTCTTTTCTTTAACTGTGGAAGCCTACAGCTTTTTAAATCGCAATACCATTGTCACCAGTAAGGATTATCCCATTTAAATTAAGGTCCCTCTCTTGAAATAGTCTGAAAATAATGTCTGAGGAATTGTTTGTCCAGGAATTTTCTCTGGCTGCTTAAACGGAATTAAGAAAATACCAGAAAACAGTCAAGAGTTGCTTAACTTTCATTTGGAAATAATGGGTTATATTCTTGGCAAGTGTGAAATAACCCTTATTATATTTATTTATTTATTTATTATTCCCGAGACACCTGTCTCTCTCAGCTAGATCATTTTATTGCTTGGACATGAGCTGACACTAGCAAATTTATTGTTTCTAGAATGTGCTAAATACTTCCTAGTGTTTGATTCTCTTTTTCTTTGTAATCGTTGGGGCTCTGTTGTAAAAAGTAGTTCTAGCATTTCTATAACGCTCCTCATACTGATCTACTACACTGTGAAACAAGCACATTTAAGAAAGGTAAAGAACTGCCATGTTCAAACACAGAGGTTGCTGCATTCCAGTGCTGCTTAGATGACTTGTGGATGCTCATGCATACAAAAATAACTAGGAAAATTTTCAGTGCACTTTGGCCTCAGTCTTTGGCATGTAAAAATTTTTATTATTGTATTTTTGTCTATTGTTTTCTTGCTTTTAGCTGCGCTAAAAACATAGACTTTGTCTAAATATGTCAGTACCAAATTATCAGGTACAAGCTAGGTCAGGCTGAAAATGGCTCTGTATACTGGAGATGGGTTATTGGTAAGAGCAGTTGCCTTGCATTTGAGATTTCTGCACGACTAGCAAACATTCCACAGTAAACAGTGTAACAAAAGAGAATTCTTTGTTACTCAGCTACATGTGGAAACCGTGATCTTTAACTTGGGAAGTGGTGAAATGTTTAATAGGTTTTTATGTTTTCTTCCACTGTAGCAAAGCAGTTGACTATCTGAAAGCATTGATATGCTTACTTAAGAACTAAAATACCATGTCTTTCTCTGGCTTTAATACAGGAGCGGATGACTCAGTTGTATCTGAAGATCGACTGAATGAAACTGAACTAACTGATCTAGATGGCCAGCTGGAATCCCCTCCTAAAAACTTTCTGTCTGTAGAAGAAGAGAACAACATGCACCATTCCCACAATGATATCTCTCACTCTGTTCAAGACCAAGATCTTCATGATACAGAGTACGATGACAACCATGGAGAAGATAAAATAGCTATGAAACACAACCATCACTGGCATCACAAACATTCCCATCATTCCCATGGTCATTGCCATTCTGGAAAGGACCTGAAAGATACTGGCATTGCTAATATAGCTTGGATGGTAATTATGGGAGATGGCATCCATAATTTTAGTGATGGCTTAGCAATAGGTAAGTGTTGAGCATATTCTGTGAGGCTGTACCTACAGTAGCTTGATGAGTGACAGTAATAGCAGAAGGACTAATACAGATGAGGCTCCAGTAGCATTTTATTTAAATTTGCACAGAGCATGTGTATGGATGTTGGTGTTTAAAAATGCCAGCAACTGTGGTGCAAGCCTTGTCTGCACTGATTTCAGAAAGGGGAACTATAAAAAAAAATGAGGATATTGGCTAAATGGCAATTAAACTGCACAATCATAAAAGTGAAATCCCTGCAAGCTGCATGGGGACTTTTAAAAACACTATAATAAGGGCTCAAATTAAATGTATACCCCGAATTAAAAAACATTTCGGGCTCTTGTCAGTGTCTACAGTGGTACTCCCGATGATGTAAGTTGCATACTATTTTGATTCAACTCTGTCTGTGTGAGGCATAGCACTTAGGTCCATGTAGTTAGGGCAACTCAGTGTCCTATAGACACTTTTTTACTGACATCACCTGTTGGCTGTCAGCCCTGCATGAAGCTGATAGCTGGGTTTATCTCCCCCCCGCCAAATGCTGAGGGTCTGAGCTGTCAGCTGGGTCCTGAGCTCACAGCTGGAATCCCCTTCCAGACTCATTCTTGGGCCGACTGTCTGAGCTGTGAACTGTATGCAGGGCTCCATTTCTCATTAGGGAGCCTACCAGCAGTGAGACTAATGTTCTTGAGATTTTCAAGCTGCTATTGTTTCACATTTTGTCTCTGGCTCCCACTGTCAGCCCTGGGGCTGAAGGTGCCAGCTGTGAGCCTTGTGCCAGGCTGACAGAGTTGGAGAGGAAATGTGAAATAATAGCATCCCTGAAACTGACAAGAATGTAAATTTCATTGCTAGTAGGCTTCCTGTGAAATGGAGCCCCATTAGGCTCACGTGTTGGGCTGTGAGCCCCAAGGTGGGGATCCAGCCGTAAGCCCCTTGTGGCTGGAAGTACCCTAAAATGCTCCCCTTCAGTTGATGCAAATGCTTCTGGTGAGAACATACATCACTGGCAGAAGAACAGTAGTGTGGACTCCCAACAGCTGATTGCTGTGGTGGCTGTAGGTCGACTTAATTTTGTAGTGTAAACAAGTCTGTAGAGAGAGAAAATGAAACAGAAATAAGCACTTTTGCTGTATCATCATCCATTCAAATTCTCCCAGAGCACATCAGTGTCTTCAGAATTAGAAAGTGCATTATTCTGAATAGGAGGAAAAGTACTAACTGAAGTACAGTTTAAACTTAAAAAACAGCAAATGGTCTGGTAGCACTTTAGAGACTAACAAAACATGTAGATGGTATCATGAGCTTTTGTGGGCACAGCCCACTTCTTCAGACGACTGGAGTTTAGATGACTGAAGAAGTGGGCTGTGCCCACGAAAGCTCATGATACCATCTACGTGTTTTGTTAGTCTGTACAGTTTAAACTTAAAAAAACAACAAATGGCCTGGAAGCTCTTTATAGACTAACTTGCCTACCCCATGAAGCTTCCTGAAGTACAGTTTATTAGAGATGATTGCTAGGCTGGCTTTCGTAGCACTAGGTGGCAGTGTAGTGCAATAGATTCTGACTGGGCTGGAGTGGGTTGGGGAACATATTTGCCCACTAGATGAGAAGTGAGCCAAAATACTCATGGTTCTCACATAATCACTTCAAAAATGCTGCAGCTGAGGCTGGCAGTTAAACGTTGAAAAACATATCTTGCAATTAGACCACAATAAAACATATCCTTCGTTGGTCTCTTCATTGTGCTTGCTTGAGTGATGAAAGGTTAATCAAGTGTTAGAGTTCAAAGACAGAAAAGGCCATTAGATTGTATAAACTGGCAACCTATATATCATAGACCATTAAATTACACCTGTTACTCCTATATTGAGCCCATTAACTTGTTAGGCTTCCTTTCTAGAAAACACATTTAGCCAATCTTGAATTGAAGACAAAGATGGAATATTTACCACTTCATTTATTAGTTTGTTCAGTGTTTAATCATTCTCTTATTTTAAAAATCTGACACTGATTTATAATTTGAATTTATCTCACTTCAGCTTCTGGACATTGGTTCTTGTTATGCCTTTCTTTGTTAGGTTAGAGAGTTCTTCAGTATCTGCTTGTTTTCGCCCTGTGATAATATTAATACACTAATAAAGTCACCTCAAAATCTTCTAAATGATAAACTAAACAGACTGCTATTGTAAGTGTCTCACTCTGGGGCATTTTTTTCCAAATGTCAAATCATTTGTGTGATTCTTTCTTTCCCATTTTTCATCATCCATTTTGAGAAGATGTGGACACCAAAACTATGTGCGGTATTCCAGCATCAGTCTTACTACTGCCATACACAGAGTTACAAACCATATCCTGTTCACAGTTTCCCCATTCACACATAGTCATCATTTATCATTCTACCAATCGAGGGTAGCCAAGAACTTTATCAGCAGTGTATAGAATACTTGTGCATAGTCCTCATTCTGGCAAAACCTCAGCAGAAACGCCCCTGTTCAAGTAATTCCTCATTGAAAACTCTTTTGGAGATCTTTCATTTGGAGAGTTCTTCAATCCTTTAATATGTGTTCTATCAGCATTGTATAGTTCTGTTTGTTAATCAGAATGTTGTGTGTTACTAATTGAAATATTCTACAAAAATCAAAGTATATGACTTCTACCCAGTTACCTATAACAAACTAATCTCATCCAAGAATTAAATTGTTTATTAAACAAGACCTATTTTCCATAAAATCTTATTTACTGGCATTAATTATATTCCTGTCCTTTAATTCTTTCTTAGAGGAATCCCTTATCTTTGTTTCTATATTTTGTCTGAGATTGTCCTCCATTTATTAATGGACTGGAAAGTACTTAATCATCTTCCTATGATACAAGTATATCATTCTGCTTCTTTCCAAATACAGAGCAGAAATATTTATTACGTGCTTTTGTCCATCTTGCTTCATTATTTACAAATGTACCATTTCCATTGGTACTATTGCTAGACTTTCTCTTGTTCTTAATATATTTTAACAATTCCTTATTGTCTTTAGCGCTGCCAGCTAAGGACTTTTCCCTGACATTCTTAGCATCCCTTGTATATTTTTTGCACTTCTTAACTTCTAATTTTTATTGATTGCTATCTTTTTTCCTCCCCTTTTCCATTAGTTATACAGAGCTTTTTATTTCTCATTTTTGTCCTTACTCCATGGCAGGATTGTCTTTTAGCTAAAGTTGTCCTCTTGGACTTTCCTCTTCAGCTTACTGCCAAGATCCCTGAATTCTTCTTTAATCTGGAGCAGTGATTCTTAACCAGTTAGTTGTGTGTATCCCCTAGGGGTATGCAGAGGTCTTATGGGGGTACTTCAACTCATCTAAACTATTTGCCTAGGTTTACAACAAGCTACATAAGATGCTCTGGCAAAGTCAATGCAAACTAAAATTTCATATAGACAATGAATGACTTGTTTTATATTGCTCTATCTACTATATTTTGTCACGTAAATACAATATTTATATTCGAATTGATTTAATTTATAATTATATACTAAAAATGAGAAAGTCAGCAGTTTTTCAGTAATCGTGTATAGTGGAACTTGTGTATTTTTATGTCCAATTTTGTAAGCAAGTAGTTTTTAATTGAGGTGATACTTGGAGAGACTGAGACAAATCAGACTTCTGAAGAGGATACCATAATCTGGAAAGGTTGAAAGCCACTAATCTGGGTAGTTCTATGTGGTGCCAAGTCAATGGAGATTTTCTGGACAACTTTATAATCTCATTCATTTTGTGGTCACATTTTATATTTTCACTTCTTGGAGATAACACACCATTCATTTTTGTCCTTATGCCTCTTGCTAAATTCTCTGTACGTTCTTCTTGGAGTTGCTCATGACAAGTGTTTGTCTTCTAAAAATGGCTGAATAGCCTTAGAGATAGCTACTTGCTTCATACTGCAAGGGCATTCATCAGGTACGTCTCCTGTAACTTTCTTTTCTGTACCCCAGAGCTACATTCCTTAATGGTTTTCTCACTATTCAATATTTCTGGCTGAGTTGTATGACTTCTGGCTTGTACCACTACTCCTCCCACCCCCACCATTGGTTCCAAATTGCCAGTCTGCTGCTTAGATTTCTAATCACTTATTTCCTTTGTGGCTTATCTGACCACAAATTCCAGATTTTTTTTCCCTCTGATGCTGCGCTGTGTTGAAATTTGCTCTACCAGACTGTACATCTTCTAGCCCAGTATAGTCATCAGCTTGCACTCCATGAATCAGAAATCTTGTATTTCATTAGAAAGAAATATGTGCACTTCAGACCAGGTCACAACAATTGTATTTGCTACCTGGTATAGACCCAGACCTAAACAGAAGGAAATATGCTCTCTTCAAAATGCCTCTGTTTTCCATTTCTGTATGCTTGCTCAGGAGTTTGCCTGGCAAGTGATTTATATTAAGTCGCATAACTCAGTTCCATATCCTTTTTTAACAAAGAGGAATTAAGCCCTTAGACTTCAAACACTCCATCTCTTCAAAGCCATCAACACAACCAGACTTGTGTCATCTGGCCTGATTACAACCTTCAAGGAAAATATACGAGTAGACTAAACGTAATCCCTCTGCTTCCAAGCACAGGATCTTCAGCTAGGTGTTTGCTGCTGAAGGGTCGTGTCTTTTGTTTTGCTTTGTTTTAAAGAGTAAGGAGAGAGGCATTAATAGGTGACATGTAGCCTCTGTTACATATATGGTCATGCCAATTTTCTTCCACAATTCAATCTGAGGAAGTGGGTCTGGCCCACGAAAGCTCATCACCTAATAAATCATCTTGTTAGTCTTTAAAGTGCTGCATAGTCCTGTCTTTTGTTACTGCCAATATCAAAGTGTAGGGGTCAAAATCTGGAGATGTCCTTTCTTATCCTCAGTCTCCTCCCACAATAAGGCCCGGTCTGTCCCTAAAACTTAGGTTGATCTAACAACGTGGTCAAAGTCTTTGAAAAATTTTGTGCTCTAGGCAATGTAATTTAGGTTGAGCTAACGCTCACTGTAGGTGTAATTAGATTGGAAGAATTCTTCCTGCTGCCATCTCTCAAGGGAGTGGATTTACTATTATGATCGAAAAAAACCTTTCTGTTGCTGTAACAGGTGTATGCCCTATACTGGCATGGCTGCAGCACAGTAACTGCAGCTGTAGTGTTTGCAGTGTACCCATATAGCCTAAATTAATATTATTATTGGTTGGTACCCAGGGAAAAATAATGAAGCAAAAGCAGGAAGTTGTAGATTAAATATCCATATGAATTTCCAGAGTGTAGAGGAAGAATGGATAACTGGGTTGTCCTTTCAAACACTCTAATCATCCCTGTATGCCTTTCACATTCTTTAAAATGTAAACCTGGTGCAATCTGTTTCATGAGAATGTAAACCTTTTGCCTCTGTCCAGTTTGCTCTCAAGTGCATACCTTTTTCTAAAACTGTTCTTTCACACTGGATAAACATTACAAAAAACAAAAATGTAAAATAATAGCCACGTGTATGATGAAAAATATTAGAATCTGTGCAAAGGGAATTTGTATATTATCTGTCTACCGATTCTTGTTTAACATGCAGAGTTCAATTAATATGCCATTATTTGCATCTTATTTTTCCAGGAGCAGCTTTTAGTGCTGGATTGACAGGAGGAATTAGTACATCTGTAGCAGTGTTTTGTCATGAGCTTCCCCATGAATTAGGTAATTAATTCTGTAAACTTCAGATGTTGATGATTTTGGTCTCTTACTTCGAATGAAAATATACTGTATGAAAAGATAGCCAAGAGTGGCTCTAATAATAATGAGGATAAAGAGCATGCAATATGAAAACCATTAGGGTGACCATTCAGACCAGAAAAAAACCTCAGATACTGAACATCATACTATGCCATTATTTAGTATGTCTAATCAGAATATTAGTGTGTATGCTAGTAGAAGTCTAGCCTCATCAGTATACCATCAAACCTGTTTAATATGGGGTGCTGCAAACAGAAGATTGTGTTGCATCGCATTGCATATGGTGAGAGCAGAGAAAAACGTACATAGGCACAAAGGAAAATCTTATGAACATGACTTACTAGGTTGCAGCCATCTTGCTGCTGAACTGCTGTTTTGGCTGAACTGCTGTTGTGGTGGGGAGTGTGTGAATTATCAGGGTCTGTACAATTCATAGAAGACAGAATATATGAGAACATTTTGCTTTCTTGTACATCAGGGCTTTCAAACAGCTGGAAATCTTGGTTAACTTAGCAGAGACTCAGCACAGACTCACAGACATCTTGTATGCTTCCCCCACTGCCATACTGGCTCTCCCTATGAACCCAGCTCTGACCTAGGGATGTAAGTGACTAGTCAGCTACCCGGTAAGGCTAGGTTTATTGGGTAGTGGAGTGACTGTTGAACTCATTGCTTTTCCAGTGCGGAAGCCAAGTTAAAATCCGGTTCCCACAGCAACATCTCCGTGGGGGACAGAGGTGCAGCAGGGGAAACAGCACGAGCCAGGACTGAGCAGTTCCAGAAGCTGCAACTCTGCTTTTTAAATGTAGTAAGATCTGCCAGGCTCTTAATATATTTAAAAAGCAGAGCCACAGAGTCGGGAACCTAGCACGAGTAGATACAGCTGAGTTTCTAGGTACATTTAAAAAGCAGAGCTGCAGATTGCCCTGGCTGGCCAAGTTCAGAAGCACAGCCTGGGCTGGGCTGGTGGTGGGGAGCGCATCCCCAGCAGGGCTGGTGTGGTGGGAGGCACAGCCTTTGCCAGGGCTGACGGCAAGGAGCGCATCCCCAGTTAGGGCTGGAGGCAGTGGGGCCATCAGCCAGGAGCACGGCTCTGCTGAGATTGGCGAGGTAGGGAGCAGCCTCAGTCTGGGGTTGGCATGGTGGGGAGGGGAGCACAGCCCCGGTCACAGCTGGTGGTGGAGAGCTCGGCCCAAGCCAGGGCTGGAGTCACGGGGGCCGGCAGCTGGGTGCACAGCTTGGGCCAGCACCGTAGGGGTATGACCCGGCCAGAGTTGGAGGCAGTGGGGCCAGCCCCTGTCCAGGGTGGCGTGATGAGGGATGCAGTCCCGATCAGGGCTGGCACAGTGCGGGGTTGGAGACAGCATTAGGGAGCACAGTCCCAATTGGGAGCAGAGCTCACTGCCCGCTAGGGAGCCTTGACCTCCCCTTGTCTGGCAAACTCCATGGTTCAGGACCACTCAGGTCCCTGGGGTGCCGGACAAGGGAGGCTCAACCTGTAGTTGGTAGATTAATCACTTAGTTAATAGATTAATTGTATCCAAAACTGCACACACATCATAGTGTAAAATCTTCCACCAGATGGACTAGAAAATGATTCTATCAGTCCCATATTTTTCTAAAACCAAAGATTGTTTGAACTAAATGAAGAATCATAATATCAAGCTGCTTTATAGTGCTTTTCAGCTGTGCTTTTCATCAGCAGATCTCTCAGCTTTACACAAGAGGTCAGTTTTTCCTCCGTTTTACATGTGGTGAAACTGAAACACAGTAAGGGAAAGTGACTTGCCTTAGGTCATCCAGCAGATAATGTGGGAAGAAAACCTACATCTCCTGAGTCCAAGTACAGTGCTCTCTCTGCTAGCCTCCCTGTACAGACTTTACTGTTGTGGAATATTAAATCTTCTTTTACATCAAGGAAAGGTATACATTGTGTAGTTCCCCATCTTCATGTGTTGGGAACAAAACATTCACTTTATTCAGATAACATCCTACCAGTTTGTTATTAACTTGTCCAATTTCTGGACAAATTGGAGAAATGGTCTGAGGTAAACAGGATGAAGTTTAATAAAGACAAATGCAAAGTGCTCCACTTCGGAAGAAACAATCCGTTTCACACATACAGACTGGGAAGCGACTGTCTAGGAAGGGAAAAAGGGATCTAGGGGTTATAGTGGACCACAAGCTGAAGATGAGTCAGCAGTGTGATGCTGTTGCAAAAAAAGCAAATATGATTCTGGGATGCATTAATAGGTGTGTTGTGAGCAAGACATGATAATTTATTCTTCTTCTCTACTCTGCGCTGGTTTGGCTTCAGTTGGAATATTGTGTCCAGTTCTGGGCACCGCATTTCATGAAAGATGTGGAGAAATTGGAGAGGGTCCAGAGAAGAGCAATAAGAATGATTAAAGGTCTAGAGAACATGACCTATGAAGGAAGGCTGAAAGAACTGGGTTTGTTTAGTTTAGGAAAGAGAAGATTGAGGGGGGACATGAGAGCAGTTTTCAGATATCTAAAAGGGTGTCATAAGGAGGAGGGAGAAAACTTGTTCATCTTGGCCTCTGAGGATAGAACAAGAAGCAATGGGCTTAAACTGCAGCAAGGGAGGTTTAGGTTGGACATTAGGAAAAAGTTCCTAACTGTCAGGTGGTTAAACACTGGAATAAATTGCCCAGGGAGGTTGTGGAATCTCCATCTCTGGAGATATTTAAGAGTAGGTTAGATAAATGTCTATCAGGGATGGTCTAGACAGTATTTAGTCCTGCTGTGAGGGCAGGGGACTGGACTCAATGACCTCTCGAGGTCCCGCCCAGTCCTAGTATTCTATGATTCTCTGATTTTTTTTATGATTAAAATTATTTTATTTCCTTGAAATAAAAAGATATACAAGTCAGCATGACTAGTGTGCTGAGTAGATGAGAATTTGTACAATCATCATGTCTTCAGCATCCTGAAGTAGGAAAGTAACCTTACAAAAGCAAACATGAAACAGTTAAACACATTTATTTTCTATGTCCTCCTCCATGCCTGAACAAAATATTGCCTCTTCCTTTACATCAGCCGTAGGCATTATTAAATAAAACTACTGCAACACCCCTGACAAGCACTAGGCCAAACCCTAGTTAGCTTAATGTATTACCCTAGCCTGTCCAGATTCATTTTTATGTGATCCATATTTACAGGATTTCTAACAAGGTCTGGCTTTTTACGTAGGCAAGCTCGAAATAGCCTATTTTTCACTGCTCACAGTGCTCAGGACTAGGGTTTCCAGATGGTTTAACCAAAAATACTGAACACTGCTTTCCTCCCCACCCCCACCCCCCCCCCCCAAACACACCACTTTTTGGGAAAAACTTTTGTT